GACCAGATCTCAAGTGAAATTTCTACGGGATTCTTTTTCACTGTTTCACTGTCTTTTCTTTCGGTGCTCTGTTAATATTTCATTAACTCAGTTTTATGACGAGACGCGTCGTGGACGAATTGTGAGTTGAAGCGGCCAATTGTGTGTGACACAGAGAGACAATGGGCGGAGCATTCGAGTGGGCGGGGCTTAGAGGATGTTCTAATCTCTCTTAGTGAACAAATACAAGTGCAAAGTGTGTTTTTCTTACTCAATTGACGGTGATATTGAGATAAATTCCCTTTTTGTCATCACAATCAATTACTCTCTAGGCAATTATGTGTTTCAATAAGATCAGCAAAAACCCACTGATCGCCTGTGCAATGGAGAAATTATCGGCCCTGAGCTTCTCAGTCGCTTCTTGTGCAGATTCGTGCTCGGGATTGCTGATGTCATAGACACTTGGCATCTCGGCAAGGCCACATGATCTGCCCTAAAGCGAAAGTGATTTGAGATAGATGGAGAAATTGTCACTATAATTGCAGTCATTGCCAACATCCTTCCCATTGTTGACGGGCATTTCGCACGCCTTTTACAGGCAGCACTTCTTCTCATCCATGTGACCGTGATCGTGAACTGGAGTTGATCAATCAATTGGCGAGAAGAGAAGGAGAATGAAGGTGAAGGTGTTGAGCGAGTTTATGTTGAATTTGCGAGACCAAAAATGCTCGAAGGTATTTTCACTTTTTAATCACAACATGAGATTAAATCGCCATTTTCAGGCACAAGTAAACAATTCTCAAGAAATGTCCATATAATCACTGAATTCCGGGGAGATTTGTTGTTTTCTTCTGCTGTCTAAACAGAGGAAATGCACAGTTTTCACAGCGAAGCCAATCGCGGAGAGTGAGAGTATTGACTTAGTTTCAGTTGACAAAGTGTATCATGTTGAGCCCTTGGCAAATGTCTCGCTAGAAGTGAATTATAATAGCTGTGAAAGACCAGAGAAATATTGATAAATGGAATTCATTTGAATATTGAGTGTGATTTTATCGTTTGCACGAGATTTCTCAGTTTGTCAGAGGAAAAAATTGACAGTGCAGTGCTGAAAAATTAGATGCAGTTCGATGAATCAGTAGAAAACTGTAAAAAGTTCATTTTTGGAAAGCTCTTTATCTGTTCTATTACAAAAGAAAATTTTGAGATTTGTATTTTATGGGGCAAAACTAAGAAATTCTTTTTATATTTCAGTAAAATTCTTTTTTTTTCTGTAAAAACTATGAAAATTCGACTATTTATCGTTTACGCTGGACATTTTTTTGTAAGAAAATCGTCTCAAATTGCAGTCAAAAGATTTAAACACATAAAAAATCTAGAATAAACACAAATGAAGATTTTTGGGGATTTTCGTAAAAAAAATTTTTTAGTCTTTTAATGAATTTTTTTTATTAATATTTGTCATATTTTGATTTTTTTCACTCGAAAACTTGAAAGACTAGTTCATTTAAAATTTGAAAAATTGATTTTTGAAAGCTTCAACTTTGAAAAATAATATTTTCATTTTTATCAAATTAATTTGCCAAATTTTAGTCAAAAATTTCAATAAATACCTGTAAAATCAACTGAAAAATGCACAAAATAATTTTTTACAGAGAAATTTTAACACTTTAATGAACCTTTATGTGTTTTGAGGTAATTTTTGGCAAATTTCTCAGAAATATTAATGCAAATTTTCATAGTTTTCGTTTCGTCCATCAACTTAGACCTATTAAATAAATATCAAATAGTGCATTTTACGAAAAGTTCGCACCTTTTTCTCTCTGCTTCCACTCTAGCGATGCTGCACTGTAATTTCTTTATTCATGAGAGGCAGTTTTTTTTTCTTCTATGAGCGACTGGTCTGGTATTTGAATAATGCACAATTAGAGCTCGGATCTCGTGATACATCTAATTTGCATTATTAAAAGCGACTTGGTATTGGGAAAACATTGTGTTTACCAGAAGAAAAAAAAGATACATTATAGTGCGCGACTGAATTTTGGAAAGTGTGAATTTCTTTCTATGGCAAGATTTTTGCAAAAATGTACGGGAAATTGTACTTTTTCGCTTGATCACCTCAGTGAGAAACTCTCTGTGCGGCGCTAATTTATGGCATGAGCGAGATGATAAAATTGCCATGGAGGTTCGCAAGAGAAGATTATGGTCAAAATACATGTTATTATGTGATGTTTTTTGCTCATCCGCCACAACAGCAGCTCAAATTGTGAATTGCATCTCTGCTTGATTGGTCACTTTATCCGCATTTGTTTATTTTCCCAATAGTTTAGTGCCGCGATGTGTTGAAACAAGGGGGAGATAGTGGGATCAGAAGTGGTAAACTCTAATACAAATCTGCATTTTAATCATCTTGATAACTTTTTCTAGGTTCTGTGACTGGATTTATGACAAAATAACACTTCAAAGTATTATATTTTTGCACTGAAAGCGAAATTATTTAATTAATTTACCGAATTGTGCGTAAAAAATCATGAAAATTGCGATTATGGAAGATGTATAGTGAAAAACAGGTGAAAATCAAACATAACCTCAAATTTTTGTACTGAAAAGTTACGATTTTGAGCTAAAAAGACTCTAATTGAGAGACACTAAATTCATTCAATGTTGTTGAAAGACTATTAGAATGAAGAATATCATAGAAATGATCTGAAAACATCAGATTTATAGATGGAATTTTTCCATCGTTTTGTCCTGGAGGTTGGTCACCAACACTAAGACGGCGATGGCCGCAAATGAGACTACAATAAATGTTTATCAGTATGATTTTAGTTAGATTTCAGTCGATTTGTAGATAATTTAGACAGAATATCGTCGATTAATTATTCTAAAGATTGAAGATTCTCCATACAAATTATGGTAAAAGGTGTACACAAATATCAGCCATATTATCTCCCCCTTGGGTGAAAAAAATCGAGAATAAAACGGGAAGATATATCAACATATATAGTGTATAATTTCAAATGCTAACGACGATGGAATCACGTGAAGCAACTGACTATATTCGGATGAAATGAATCAAAACTGCCCTTAGGCTTCGGCCGAACAATCTCTTTTCACTAAACATTCAATCCGCCCTGGAATTATGGCATTAATATATATATATATAGTTTGTCTGAAATCACTTTTCATTTCTATATGGCGAATGTGGAGTAGTGACGACAGATGACATAGCAAATTGCCTTTCCAACCGCAACTTCTATAAGTGCTCCAAAATTTCACTTTTGATAATCTCCAGAGAATCTGACGCTGGCCGACCATTAAAGTGGCTTTTTTCTGCCTTTTCGGCTGCGTTTTCTTTTCACTCGAACAGCCCAGAAATCTCGCCCAGGTGAAAGGGGTTTCTCTGCAGACTTGCTGGGCCTTTTTCCACGCCATAATTAATGATTTATTGTCTCACGTCTGGGGCGTTGGGGCCCATAAAGTAACCTTGAAATTCGCACTCTGCCAAAAGTGACAGGACAGGCTCATGTTCGACGTCAAGGTGTGCAAATTATTGGTATTTTATGCTCAATAACCTCTACATAACATAGTGTAAAATCCATCTATGGCAATGTATAATAGAAATGATAGAGCAATTTGTTGTGGGGAAATTTTTCACAAGTGGATTTTTAAGAGATTGTCAGAATACTTTTACAACTTCACGGGGGCGTGGCTTGCATGTGGGCGGAGTTTGTGATATTTGTTTTGGGCGAATTCTAACGTGAGTGCGAAAAGAGGTGAATAACTTGGCATGTCATGTGTGAGGAAAAAATGCTTAAAATCTCCTTATTTAATTGATCTATTCGATCAAAGCAATTCCTCAGCAATGCATCCGGTTCAAGTGCATACGAGTGACTCTTGTTTATCCTCTCTTATGGTCATCTATCATGGCAGAATGGCAGAAATGTATCCACAAGTCGATTAGAAAGTGTCTATGCTCGATTCACTTTCAATGCAGCCACGCTTGGCTTTATCATTTCTGTGATTTGTGCAATGTTTTGCATTTTCATTCCGCATCGTGCAAGAAAATTATTGCAAACTTTATTGATTGTGCACAATAAATACTCCCAGTCAAGTCAAATGGCTCATGTCTCTTCACTTTGCATCTCAGCGACTCATTCGTTTTTGTGTTAATTGGATTTGTGTTTTGATCTGAGCACATTTGCCCTGAGACGAGCAAAAAGTGTCTCACGCGAAGGGGAAAAAAAACCATCATAATCGTGGAAATTAATTAATAGTCTTCATCTATTAATGTGACGGGCGAGAGGAAGTGACAAGAGATCAAATTGAGCATTAAAGCGAGATCAGCGCAGAAAGTCTTTGGCGCTCTTTTGCATTTGACTGGATGCAGCGAAACATTTGATTGGCTTCGACGAGATCCAGCAGCAAAAGTGTAGTGAAATGATGAAAATTTGAATTGTGAACCTGTTTCTCTGTGCAAATTGATCGTATAGCTTCGACATTAAATGCTTGTCATATCGCCTATGTTGATTGATGTGTGGTATAAATTGTCTTTGATCTTCAAGGAAAGGGTTTTCACTTTTCACTCAATTAAGATCGGAATGGGTTCGATATACACAGAGGAGAACGATGAAGAAAAAAGAAGATAAAGCCATTTAATAGTCTCACCACGCTGAACTCTCCCATCATTATTCTCTTTTTTTCCGCCGTGCGCTCTCTTTCTGTCCGCGGGCTCTTCAGCAAATCCACGATCGTCAAGACAGAAGGGATTACAGTACATGCGAAACATTTATTAGCGTCTCTTCTCACAATGTACACAATGGTTTGTCGTCACCCTTACAACATAACGAAAAAAAATGGCATAGAATTTCAATTAAAATATAATAACATTTTTATAATTTTTATATAGGCAATTTAGCATGATCGAAAGGCAATAAATTAATACTGAACATTCATAACAATTTGCAATTTTTCAGTCTCATGACAACTTTACACCACCCAAAAGCTTAACTCTCCGCATTCGATCATGTCTCCTTGGCGTCCTTGTTGATCGGGTTGCCCAGCTCGTCGATCTCTGGCGATGGCACGAGGGGTGGCTTGAACCCGTACTCCCACCGGATGTTCTTCAAGTAGTCCAGGTTGCGCCGGTACTTGAAGCGCGGCAGGTTCGCGCTGTAGCCCCAGTAGTCGGTCTTCAGGGGCAGCGGACCCAGGTAGTCGTCCTTGAAGATCACGCCTGTGGAGTAGCTCTCGTGGGGCGCTGCATCGGCTCCATGACCACTGTGGTATCCAAAGTGGCCTTCAAAGCACAAGAAAAAGCAAAGTTAGCGATCAATAATTAGTTTAAGGGGCGGAGCTTTCGAGTGGGAGGAGCTTATAGCGATTATAGACTACAATTTACTCTCGAATAGACGGGAACTGAGATCAATCCTCCGTGAATGAGCCTGTAGTGTGTCAATGTCAGATCAGCGATAAGTCGTGGTTGATCTACACTTTTATACACTTAAAATGTGGATCAGCCATATTCGTGGCTGAACTGGCTCTGTACACACTGAGGGGTTATTCTTCTTTGTCGACACTAGCGACACTGTGCGGTGTGTTCAGCTATCAGTTGATTTGCATACTTTAAAAGCGTGAAATTTTACGTTAAAATTGTGAAAATGGATGATTCGCAGAAGAATTTAATGATGTTAATAATCGAGGAAATCTTTCGCAAGAGATTCGCCATTTTGTCTTTCTTGAGTCGTGCAATATTTCGGCGCCGCACGAGCGCGCTACCGTCGGGAACCCCATAAATATCGAGTGAACCTTCGATATATCGAGGGATTATTCGCGTTTTATGGTAAGCGAACTGTCAGTCGTACACACTCGCGCTCTCGCTTATCCTCCCGTGGATAATCGGCTAGTCTGTAATCGCTCTTAGGGGAAGTTTCCACTCACCGGCATAGCCTCCGAGAGCGTGATCGTTGATGTGAACGTTGAAGTGCGTTGTCTTCGGCTCGTGATGGGTGAAGAAGTCTCCGTAGATGGGCTTCAGCTTCTGCGGGGGGTGGCCATAGAGGGCGGAAATGGATGCATCTGCGTTCACCTTGATTGTCGACGGGCTGTTGAGGTGAATGTGCTTCGTGACGCTGGGCTGGGCGATGGGATGGAGCACGGTGGAGGTGGCTGTGAGTGGCCAGCTTGGCTGGTGCTTCACGGGCAGATGCTCAAGATGGACGTGCTTGATTTGAGGTGTCTTGAAGAAGAACGGCTTGGCCTTGTAGTGGGCCACAGGTACAACTGCATGGCTGATGTATTTCGTGTGGTGGATGTGCTTGTTGATTGGCACAGGCACGGCGTAGGGATAGGGCACTTCCTTCTCCACATGCACGGGAATGTGCACGGGCACTTGGACAGGTACTTGAACAGGTACTTGGTAGGGTATGTGAACGGGAACATGCACGAGTTTCTCAACTGGATACGGTCGATCGATGATCTTCTCCACTTCAACAGGCACTGGACGATCGATAATCTTCTCAATGACCTTCTCCACAGCCACTGGCACTTGAACTTCCTTCTCCACGACCTTCTCCACCTCCACAGGTCGATCGATGATCTTCTCAACGACTTTCTCAACTGGATAGGGCACGTGAATGGGCTTCTCGACGATCTTCTCCACTGGATAGGGTCTGTCTATGTACTTCTTCACCTCGACCGGGTAGGGAACCTTGATTTGCTTCTCCACGATCTTCTCAACGGGAACAGGACGGTCAATGAACTTCTTCACCTCCACAGGATATGGCACAGGACGATCAATCAACTTCTCCACCACCTTCTCCACCGTCACTGGCTTCTCTACGATCTTCTCCACCGGCACGTGAATGTGTTTCTCCACCGGATACGGCCGATCGACAAACTGAGTGATGTGAACGGGCTTCTCCACAATCCGATCGACAGGATAGGGCACAGGCACCTTCTTCTCCACCACTCTGTCCACAGGATACGGCCGATCGATGATCTTCTGCACTTCCACTGGATACGGCACAGGTTTCTCGATCACCTTCGGCACCTCAACCTTCTTCTCCACCGTCACGTGCACGGGAACCGGCGTGGGAACCACGCGATTCACTACCACTGGGACAGGCTTCTCCACGATGACCTTCTGCTTGATGATCCGATCCACGGGCTTCTCAATAATGATCGGCGGCGGTGGCGGAGCGTCGCAATTCCCACTGCGACACTTTGTTCTCAGCCCGAAGATTGGTCGATCGGGATGCTTCTTCTCCGTGATCACGATGTTCTTCACATTGACGCTCTTCTGCACTTCCACAATGGTCTTCTGCGTGGTTCTCTCAGTGGATTTCTTGATGTCCTCAGCATCGTCGCAGTCTTCGTCGGAGTTTGAGAGTCTCAGGCCAGCTTGAATGGGCGCGAGGACATTATTTGACACTCTGTTGGTGGTGAGGAAGTGTCTGGTGGTGTCCACGGCGGGAGTGGTGCTTGTGGTGAAGGTGGTCTCCTTGAGGAATTGTCCATTGTTGTGATCATCGATTATCTGCACATTTATACTCTTGGGCGTGGCTTCCACGTCGAGCTGAGGAAGATATTCTCTCGTGGGGATGATTCTGACCTCTTTGGGCTCCTGATCGGGGAACGCCTTGGATCCCACCGTGTTCTCCTCATCGTCATCCACCACAATGGGCTCCTCAAACACACCCTGATCGCCGCGCACCGTCTGAAAGTGCTTCTCACTTCCGTCAGCCTCCTCCGTGTCACGCGTGCTGTTGCCAGACGCCTCGGCGGCCCCGTTGATATTCAGCACATCCTGATTCGACACCAGATTCTGCGTGCTCTCCACCAGCTTCTGGATGCCCACCTCCTCCAGCTGCGCCCTCGCCTCGGCGTCCTGCGCCACCTGATAGCTCACGCCGGGGCTGATGTTGACAAAGTCCACATCCGCCGGCTGGGCGGTGACGTAATTGTGATAAGGCGCGGCAATTGGGAAGAGAATAGTCCGTGGTGTGCCGTGGGAAGGTGATGATTGCACCACTTGTTGATCCGACAGGCTGAATTGCTGCGGTGACACAATCCCAACAATTTCAAGATTGCCCGGATGCTGAATTGGCAATTGTGACGGTGGTTCCGTGGATAAATTTGCCGTGTGGAGGGCGAAATGTTGACTCATCACACTATTTGTCCCCTTCGTGGTGTATCTGTGGAGTGGTGAGAAAGAGAAATCGATCTATCAATTGGCCTGAAAGTATTTAATTGATCCTCCGGCTCAGGTGGAGGGTTAAAAACTTCCTGTGCACTAATTGACATTCAATATGTTCCATTCACTCGTATTTGAAATAGAAAAGTTCTTCTTCTGATTGAGAATGTCCAGAATTAGTCACAATTATTGCACAACAACTCCATAAAAAAAACGCAAAAAATTCACGTTAAATAGCCATTGAGTCGAGATATTGGCCTTTTTCCTCTTTTCCTTTAACATCTAAGCATCATCATCCCTTAAATGAGTGTGAAGACAGCAAAATGTATCTTCAGCAGCATAAAAGAGCGAAACTTGTCGATGGAAAACCCTGTTTTCCGGCAGATAGAGAAGAAATATCACTTTAGTATGTATGGGGGAAATTCATCCCCTACAGTGATCTACACAAAGGAAAAATAATTTGATATAAAAGTTTTTTTCGTTTCGGAGATATTTAATATAATGTGGTTTAAAAGAAACCGACGATTTTTCTACCTAGTGGTTCACAAAAGATCATTTTTGACCAACAAGAAGTGATCTAAAATACCCACAATGTTTTACAAAGTAGTAGGTAATTTCAATAGCCATTTAGTGAGCCTAATTTGAGGAAAATCCGTGAAAAATTGGGCGAGATATGAGCACATAAGTGTGGCAAAGTGGCGGAAAAAGGCTCCAAAAGGAACACTTGAGAATCTAGGGGAAATGTGAGGTATCGTTGAAAAGCTGATGACTCAAGGTATGAAGAAAAATCACATTTCAAAAAAAGGAGAGGAAAACTTGCGATTTTTGTTTCCTAGTTTAATGCAAATTAATAGTGAAGAGTCACTTTAAAACACAGTTTCATCAATTCAAGCTCTTATCTTGAGCATTAATTTTCACACTCTTTCAGACGAAATGGAGGATTTTCACTTTCAACTCTTTATCAAATACAATTCGCACAGCCACTTTGCATTGGAAATGTCTCACCTGACAATCGGATGGTATCCAAAGGCGTCGGCGACGTAATCCACTGTGGCCTGCGACTGGCCGTTGGGCAGGTGAACGAAGAAGTTCCCCTTGACATTGTCTCCCGTCCTGAGGACCTGGTGTCCGTGGATCTTCTCGCCGCCATCCGCGGCGGCCACGGAGTAGCTGTACGCCACCCTGGCGGCGTCCTGGGGGCGGACAGAGGGGAAGGGTGGGTCAGTGAAATTGGGAGGAAGTAATTTTATTAACTGGAAGCAATTAACCTCGTCTCTCCGGCTCTGTTTATCAATGTCTTCCCGCGGCGGTCTTATAGCTATGACTTGTGCAGCTAGACAAATTATCAGCAAGCTCTGAATTCCACGGACGAGTGGGCGGTGGGTGGCAAATTGAAATGGAAGCGAGGAATTAAAATTTAATTAGAAAACTTGGTCGTAATGACACTGTATTGTGTTCCTCCGCGATGTTATTTATATGTTTCACTTACTTTTTTCACCATCATCTTTCCGGCTGATTTAGCGGGAAAAAGAATTGGGGAGAGATGCACTCGCTCCCTTTTTCCTTGGCAAACAGGAGAAGGACTCCTTTGGGGCGGAAGGGGGAGAATTAATGCGGAAAACACCCCAGATGGTTGCACTCAATTGTTCCAATCTTTCCACCTCAACGGTCACAATACAACTGATTCCATCAAGTTCATGGTCAACTTCACGATTTTCATCTCTTGAGTGCGTAGCGAATTCAGCAGCACAACCGCCAAGAAAACACTCTCCGGGTTCTCTTTCTCTCTCTCTTCGTCCGCGAGGCAATTTAATTTAATTTTATCTCGAATTAAACATTTACAATTTCTTCAATGGATAAAACTTTCATTTGAGCGCCGCTGATCGTTCCAGAGTCACTTTTTACGCCTTTCTTTTGACTTTTATGCATACAAGAGGCAAGAGAGCCAAAGTAAACACACAGCAACACAAGTGAACAAGGCAGGGACAAAAAAACCGACTCACAACACCTCAACAGCACAGTCACAATTGGTGAGAAACGGTGGCAAGAGGCGGAAAAGAGATGCAGATGTCTCAAATTCGCACAATTTGGCCACTCAAGCACGATCAGAGTAAATCCACACGAAATTCTGCACAATATTCGGAGCGAGGAAGTAATCCTGATGGGCGACAAGGAGATGGCGACTGAGAGTGTATGAAGTAATTGCTTATTGCTCCGCGTTGAGGCTGAATTCCAACTGATCCGGTTTCAAAGTGCTGCTCCATATTAAATAGTTCCCCCGCAAGAGCACAGCGCGCCAAAGACTGCGAAAGACTGCCATGGTGCCTCTGAAAGTGGTGTCTTTAGCGCGCCAAGACATCAGGTGGACTCGAGCCTTGATTGAGCGCTATTCTTCGCGCAAAGAAATTAAACTCTATTGTGATGCAGAAGATGGAAAAGTGCTGATGAATTCCATCATTCGCCCACAAAATCACAATCAAAATTTACTCTTCGGTACTTTTTGTTAACACTTGGAGGGCTTAGGAGATGAAAATTACACGAATTGCATGGAATATTACACAATTTCGAAAAATAGTGAGGTTATGTCGATATTTTTGCGGCGAAAACAAGTGAAAGATGTCCAGCTAACTTAAAAGGCAATCTGGACATTATTTTCATGCTCCAAAGTGCTTTTATGTCTAATCTTCTCTAGAAAACTCTTTAGAGAAGACTTGAGTTTGGTCCTTCGAACCGGATGACTTTGAGAATTAAAAACACAATTATTACAACGATGTTAAAATTTACAATTTCAGAGTGATTTTTACGTTTTCCGCCCCAAAAAAGCTGGCTTAATTCCCCACAAAGATACTTAAAGACTTTCATTGGCTTCGCAATGCATTCGATTTTGCTGAAATCGACTCTGAAATGGCTTAATTATGTAGGTTTTCTCAAACCTCTGAATATCCATTGAAGTTCAAATGCAATCAAAATTGCTAATTGAGTCTAATTAAGGCAAAGCTAATCCAGCATGTCTGTAATTAGAAGGCATCTCTCAATCCCTTATCCGTCAATCATTAGTGGGAAACACTTGCATTTTGGTAAGTGGCAATTTTCCCTGGCGAGAACACACACACACAAACACCGGCAAATGAGACATTTTAGTGAAATGTTCTCCGCAATAAGTGGCCAAGATTGATGGTCTCTCGCGCTTTGTGGCCGCGAGAAGGGCTTTCACTGCATACGAAAACACACTCGATTCATCTTCGTGATGTAGGATACAAACTTTGGAGGTGGTTCTCAAGGGGGAGATAATAGCGTCCAGAAGTGGTGTACAGATCAGCAGAAGAAGTGGAAGTGTTGAAAAACTCACTATCTTCCTTTCCTGCGTGCTTCTTTTACTGACTAATCATCCGGATTGTTTGGATTTCTTCTGAATTGTACGAAGAAACAATCATTTTCTAGGTTATGTAGCTTTATTTCTCGCATTCTAGCACATCAAATTTTTATGCTAAAGTCACCCAGATTGACAGTTTTTGGCAAAATTAAGCATTTTCATGCAATAAATATTGATTGTCTGAACCTTTGATGCCAAGAAACACTGAAAATTCTGTTGAAGTCGAACATAACTTCAAAAAAAGTCATTTTTTGACTTGGAAAATGCTTTTTTAGACCATTTTCTGTACGATTTTGACTCTGAATCAGCAAATTTTGAGTTTTTCGATGATTTTATTGTCTGAAAAGCATTCAATTTAAGTCTTTACGGATCTCTTAAACAATTTTTTTTGAGGTTATGTTGGGTAAAGACACTCTAAAGAGCGGTTTTAAGTGGATTTTTACTGAAATATCGCATGAAACCTTAAGATGTTTATTATGTTTTGCGAATTATCGTGGAAACAGTCTTGGTGTACAGATTAAGAGCACATATTCACCCCCTTTTGGATGGTTCTAGAGTTGTGCTTCCCGCAACAATTTGTAAGCTCAAGAGTCGATGGCAAATGGTGGGGCGCGCGCGTTTGGTGAGAGTGATTGAGAAAAAAAGCGCTCCCATATGAAAATGACTCAATTACTTTTACTCTCAATCACGTATCTTGAGAAATTAATTTGAGGCAATTAAGCGGCGCGCGGTTCCCTTTCGCGGCCGCGGAGGATGAAGAGGGAAAAATGCGATCTAATTGGTGAGACTGTGGCGGAATTTTGTGAATTAGATATGCACATAAGGAGACACAGCAGAAAAGTGTGTTACACTTTGTTGGCCTTTCTCTCTCACTCTCTCGACATTGGATGCGAATGAAATTCACCCATTATTGCTGGCACGCCAGCATTGACATCTTCAGGTGGGTCGCCAGCCCACGGTTGAGGATTTGTCGTTGATACGCACGTGTCGGCGACTCGATCTCTCAGCGTGACATGCACAAAACACGGCGCAATTGAAGCACAAGACGGCCTTGTCCGCGGTCGCGACGGCGCTTCTTCGGCATCGCCGGCAGTGCGTGGTCATCTGGAAAGGCTCACCGTGTTGATGCTGAGCGAAGAAATGCGCGCAATTCAGATAACGAATGATAGCCAAGCACATGAGTAAATTATTACCTGGCAAACACTCATTGAGATGCAACATTCTTCTGTAATTTATCACACGGCGATGGATGGGCAAGTAAGAAAAAAGAGGCGAAGAAGAATGTCTTCAAATGCAGCACACACTCTGCTGAACAATTAATTCAATTAAAAAGTGAAATGAGTCCTCTAGTGCCAAAGCACATTTCTACCT